CATTTCACATCAAGCCATCCAAATGTTCATTCGGGCAGAAGATGGTTGAGTATCTGGGGCACTTCATATCCCACGAGGGCGTGAAGGTTGACCCATAAAAGATTGAGGCTATGATCGATTGGCCAAAACCGACAAGTCTCACACAGCTGAGGGGATTTCTAAGACTCACGGGCTACTACAGAAAGTTCGTGAAGGATTATGGAACCATCGCCAAACCACTGACAGAGATGACTAAGAAAGGTGGGTTCACATGGACCGAAGCTAGCGAGGAGGCGTTTGGGAAACTGAAGGAAGCCATGACTACAACGCCAGTGCTCGCCATGCCAAGGTTCGATGTCTTGTTCGAGGTACACACCGATGCGAGTGACATTGGAATTGGTGTTGTGTTAGTGCAAGAGGGACGACCCTTAGCTTATCTCAGCAAGGCACTAGGCACTACACGATTGGGTCTATCGGTGTACGTGAAGAAGATGCTAGCAGTTGTCGAGGCTGTAAGGTGCTGAAGGCCTTATCTGTTGGGCCGACGTTTTCATATTGTGACCGACCAGCAACCGCTTAAGCATCTACTGGAGCAAAGGATTGTTACCCCCGAGCACCAGAAGTTCGTATCTAAACTTATGGGGTTTGACTTCGAGAGAATCTATCGACCGGGTCGACAGAATGCAGTGGCTGACGCATTATCTCGACGAACAGATGTAGCCGAGCTGAATGCTATCACTGGGCCAGCTTGGACTATTTGGGAGGAAATCAGGAAGGCGCAAGTAGAGGACACCTATTGCCAGGAGCTGCGCCAATCGATAGAAGCAGGTAAGACAACTGCTATCGATTACGAGTTGCATAACGGTCTGCTTCTACACCGGGGCCAAGTATTCGTTCCCGACAGTGGGCAGTTACGTGAGCAGATCATGCAGCACTTCCACGACTCTAAAATTGGAGGCCACTCGGGTATCTATCGCACGTGGATGAGAATAGCCAACACTTTCTTCTAGCCCGGACAACAGAATACCGTCCGAGATTACATAGCACAGTGCGACGATTGCCAGCGCACTAAGTCTGACTCCCGACGACCGAGCGGGCTGTTACAACCTCTACCGGTACCTGAGGCAATCTGGGAAGACATTACTATGGATTTCACAGAGGGGTTACCGAGTTCTAATGGATTTGACGGTGTTATGGTCGTAGTGGATCGTCTCACAAAGTATGCTCACTTCATACCCATTACCCATGCTTACACCGCGAAGTCGATTGCCAGGTTATTTGTGGAGTATGTGATGAAACTGCATGGAGCACCGCGATCCATCGTCTCTGATCGAGACCGGATTTTTATGAGCAGATTTTGGTCTGAATTCTTCAAGTTGCAAGGGACTAAGTTATCTATGAGCTCAGCCTACCACCCACAGACAGACGAATAAACTGAGGTAACCAACCGAACCCTTGAGCAGTATTTGAGATGCTACGTCCATCAATTTCCGAAGCGGTGGGAAAACTTTTTGCCTTGGACTGAGTATTGGTACAACACCACTTACCACGAGTCGACCAAGATGATGCCATTTGAGCTGGTATACGGGCGAAAACCCCCGACACTGATCAATTATTCGGAGGGGAGTACAGTTAACGACGAGGTTGGTCGAGAACTACAGGAACGAGATCTGATGTTGCGAGAATTTAAGAAAAATCTCGAAGGCTCAATCAATCGAACCAAAGCCTTCGCAGACGAGAAAAGGCGTGAGGAAAATTTTGCACTAGGCGAGTATGTCTACCTGAAGCTACGACCATTCAGACAGCGCACCACAGCACAAAGGGCCGCAACTAAACTGGGCGTTCGCTATTATGGGCCTTATCAGATTCTAAAGCGCATTGGTCAGGTAGCTTATCGCCTAGAGTTACCGGAAAGTTTGCAAATTCACCCAGTTATCCATGTCTCACAACTCAAGAGGAGTCTAGGGGAAGCACAGAAGTATTGTGAGGAGTTACCTGCAACCGCAATAGATGGTAGGGTCATAGTACGCCCACAGCGAGCGATTGAGTACCGCAAGGTAAGGAAAGCAGGACACTATCGTTGGGAAGTACTAGTCAGAGTTGCCATCCGAAGAAGCCACATGGGAAGATCTTGATGAGATGCGCGATCAGTTCCCGAATTTCGTCCTTGAGGACAAGGAATCGCTTGAAGGGGACGAGAATGATGCGGAAGTGTCTAGGCAGCTCAAGAACGCCGCCAGTCGGGCCTATCATGCACACAAAAGGCAAGCGCGAGTGACGACAGAAATGCGCGCACTTGAGCATAGTGCGCGCGAGGGGTGCAAAAATGGCCTGGTAATGAGCGAGAACGAACGCGCACAAATTGCATGCGTGATGGGCGAGCAGGGGCTGGCTAGCAGGTATGCACGGTTGGCGTGCGCGAGCAGAACACGGGCGACTAGCGAAGACGCGCGCATGTCGAGCACAGCGTAGCAGCACGCGAGAAATACGGACGACGCACGAGTATGCGCAGGGCGCGAAGCCCCACTCCTTGAGGAATGCGGACTGGCGGAAGGTCACGCGCATGGGGCAGGCGCGCAAGGCGCTGGCGTGCTGGCCACGCCGGGTGATGAGGCACGCCCGGAAGGCGGTGCCCTAGTCCTCAAGGACTAGGGCATGCGAGGCGGTTGGACGAGACGGCGTGCGCGAGAGAAGGAGGGTTGAGGCGGTTGGAAGACTTGGTGTGCGAACCAAGATATTTAGTTAACAACTAGCATTATATTTTCTAGCTTGTTAGGATTCCTAATATTTTATTGCTTTATTATTTTTCTAAGTAGATTAGACTTAATCAAATCTTGTGCCTATATAAAGGCCCGTACCCCATGTTATTTTTAATCATTCAAGAATTAATAGAAATCCAGAACTTTGTTCTTCTAACTTTGCTTTAGTCTTTTCACCAAAATACTACTGCAATTTCATTCGTTTCAATAGGCGCGGTTGTGGCTAGAGAAACACTATCGGCGATTCAAGGCGCGGGTTAGCGGCTTATCGGCAGTCGAAACACACGATCCTCATCACGTGCGCAGTGCACGTCAAACACGCATGGCAGCGTCTACTAGCCAGTCTGCGTACACCGCAACGCGTCACACGCCCAGCAGCATGTCCAGCGATGCCAGTACGCACGCCAGCAGTGTTCCACGCACGCTGGCCAATCACCACGCACGCCAGCACGCCCAGCAACGTGCCAGCGATGCCCAGCAGGCCTCAGCGTTGCCCGGCAGTACGCCCGAGCGCCCAATCATCCCAACACACGTAGCCCATGTACCAGTCACCTGCCTACGGTGCGTAGTAGCGCCCGACAGTGCTAGTATGAGCCAGTACCGTTGCCAGCGTGCACGGTAGTGGCCAGTCATTACCAGCAAGCGTCCAGTAGTCGCTGGCCGTGCACAGCAGCACGCCAGTGACCATCCCCAGCGCACGCACGGTGCCAGTTGCACCAGCCAGCGCCCGGGACCAAGCCAGCCAGCGCTGGTAGTGCCCAGGCCGCGCCTAGTGCGCGAGTGACCGAGCTGGTGGTTAGCCAGCGGCCGACCGTCTGGCCACAGCGAGCCGGCGGTCTGGCCAGTCAGTGAACCGGCCAGTTCAGACCGGTTACTTGAGTAGTTCAGTATTCAGTGACCTGGTCCGAGTTCAGTACAAATATTTTAGTTAATTTTTCAGTCCAGTCAGTTTAGTATGCCGGTATCAGTTTAGACTGGTTTTCTTGTCAGTCAAGTTAAATCCCGAGATTATTTCAGTTAAATGTTTAGATCGAGTCGAGCATCTTAACAGCTATTTTCAGTCAGTCTGAGTATAGTACTTAGTATTTGTTTATTTATATATATTTTTACAGATTGATCAACAGCAGCACTTACACTGTTAGATTAGCAGTTCAGGTGGGAACTCAGACTGGGTATTACATAGATTATAATTTCTCTACCATGTTTAAGGTATGTATATGAGTTATCCACTTTGGGTGGAGGCGCAGTAGCCTTAATTGCCATCCAAAGTTCTGGTGGAGGCGCAAGGCCTTAAGTATCCATCAGAGTGTGCACATGGCGGACATAGTGTCCGAGACAGTTCAGTTCAGTTACAGACCTTGTGTCTGGAGATTACAGTTTACTTATATATACCTGCAGTCATGATATTGATATTATTATTGATGTTTACTTGAGTATGAGTTTTTGCGGAGCACAGTGGCTTTAGTGCTCACGCTCCCACTATATTCCCTTTTTCAGGTGACAGGGTCGGTCCAGAGGAGTGAGCTGAGCAGGTGGTCGATGATCCAGTAAATATGCTTTTTGCAGACTGATGTTATGTATATATTATTTTGCCACGATTTTACTTCTGCTGACGTTTTCAGACTTTTGAAACTCGCATGTTAGTTTTCAATTTTTGATCCGAACTTTCTGGTCGGATTTATACAGTATTACATGCTGGTTTGATAAAAGATAATCCGTTTTTTCTAAATAGTTTTAAATTAGTCAAGTTAACGGATTTTCAGAAAAAGAATGTTTTTTCGTAGCATCCCAAGTCACGATTTCGCGAACTAATGAGTATTTATAGAAAAGAATTTGCGAAAAACTAACTCTGATTTTAATAAGCTAGCGAGGTGTTACAAATGGTATCAGAGCACGTTTTAGTGTATCTGAATACATTATTAAGTTAAGAAATTTTAGAAAATCTACCACGCTACGCTCACGCCTCGCCGACTACCAGATAAGTGCTGAGTTACAGTTTATATATACTTAAACAAATGCTTAAGTTTATGCTCAGTAGAGGGTATCAGATATTTAACCCTAGAATCCAGTAAGATGCTCGAGTTAGTGATGCAGTACTTTCAGAACATAGTCGATTGTCCTAGTGATTTGATAATTCGACTCTAGTTTTCTCGGGTTAATTTTAGCAACTCGTCAAGAGATTTGTGCGCATTCATAATCAGTTAAAGTATTTTATCATGTTATAATTGTGCGTCTGATTATATTGATCTTTTCAATACTCAGATGCCGCCTCGTAGAGAACCAGATCATCAGGAGCTCCCTCAGGCCACAGTAGTCGCACATTTCCGCGACTACCATCCAGAAAAGTTTTCCGGCCAAGGAGATCCTCGTATAGTGGACGAATGGGTTCAGGGCCTTGAAATGATTTTCGAGGTCATGGACTGTCCTGATCTTTGTCGCGTGTTATGCGCACAAATCCAGCTGACTGGTGATGCCCGACTCTGGTAGAATGCCTATTGGAGAATGCATCCCGGCGAGAAAGAAGGTTGTACGTGGGACCAATTCAAGGAGTTGATTCGTGGGAAGTACTATCCCTCGTATTACCGAGCAGATATGGAGCGCCAGTTCCTGGCACTCAGACAGGGTACTCGTTTTGTTGACGAGTACGAGAGAGAGTTTACCCGATTCGGAGCCTTTGTACCCGATCTTGTGAGTACAGAGGCGAACAGAGCCCTTCGTTTTACTGATGGACTTCTCCCAGCAGTCCGTCACAACATCGTAGGTCATGGCGTCCAAACCTACGCCCGCACAGTCGCCATTGCCAAGGAGATAGACGCCAGCATCCGACGAGAAGCTCATCTGACTTCAGCCCAGCCAGTTGCTCAACCACTTGCCCAGCCTAACGTTACTCAAGCGACAAAGAACCAGAAGGAGAGGAAGTTCAGAGGAGGCCCAGACGACCGGAGGACTCGCCCCAAAAAAATACCAGCCTGCTCGACATGTGGAAAACGCCACCGTGGAGAATGCCTTGTGGGCCAGAACATTTGTTTCTTTTGTCGCCAGCCCGGCCATATCAGCCCCAATTGCCCAGAACGACTGCAACAACAACCGCAACAACGACAGCCACCGCAGCAACCTCAACAGCAGCAGCCTAGGCAGCAGCCACCACGACCCCAGCAACAGCCACGCAGCAGACAGCAGGCCCGCGTCTTTGCAGTTGACCAGAGGGAGGCCGATCAGCACCCAGGTACCATGTCTGGGATGATTGTTCTTAATGATGTGCCTGTTTATGCCTTGTTTGACATCGGAGCGACCCATTATTTTATATCACGCTGATGTCTCGAAGCTATAGGAGTTCATCCTCTTACCACTGTCGATCCTCTCGAGGTGAGTTTAGCCTCGGGACGAAAGATAGTTACTGATGTTAGAGCCACCTATCTTAGCCTTTCCATCGGTGGCCGTATTTTGACTATGATGCTTATGTTATCGAGATGAGGGATTTTGACCTCATACTCGGCATGGATTGGCTAATACGTTTTCACGCAGATATCCGATGTCATGACTGGGAGATTACTCTTTATCATCTGGGATATGATCAGATCACTTATTTCGGCTCCAGGACTCGTACTCTGCCCCATATCATTTCTATGGCGAAAGCCAGGAGGATTCTTCGACGGGGTGATTGCCAGGATTACCTTGTGAGCCTCGTCGGAGATGAGCCAAAGGCACGGTCACCTCATGACATTCCTATTGTTCGTGAGTTCATGGACGTGTTCCCAAACCAACTTCCGGACGGTCCACCTAGCCGACAGGTGGAATTCTCTATTGATCTTATCCCTGGAGCCAGACCCGTTTCTAAGGCGCCATAGGAAAGGCACCTATAGAATTGCAGGAATTAAAGACCCAAATTCAAGAGTTGCTGAATCTCGGTTTTATTCGACCGAGCGTCTCACCTTGGGGAGCACCCGTTCTCTTTGTCAAAAAGAAGGACGGATCCATGCGTATGTGTATCGACAACCGGGATCTTAACTGGTTGACGATCAAGAATAAATATCCGCTTCCCAGGATCGATGATTTATTTGATCAGTTGAGGGGTGCCTGCGTGTTTTCCAAGATCGATTTACGTTCAGGCTACCATCAGCTGAAAATCAAGGAGTCACACATACCTAAGACAGCGTTTTGTACAAGATACGGTCACTTCGAGTTCGTGGTTATGCCGTTTGGCCTTAGCAATGCCCTGACAGTATTCATGGACTTGATAAACCGTGTGTTTCATCCTTTTCTTGATCAGTTAGTTATTGTATTCATTGATGATATCCTTATCTATTCCAAGAGCCAAAAGGAGCATGAAGAGCATCTGAGGGTCGTTCTTGAGACCCTTAGACGTGAAAAGTTATATGCGAAGTTCTCTAAATGCGAATTTTGGCTTCAGCGAGTGGCTTTTCTTGGCCACATTATTACTCAAGCAGGAATTGAAGTAGATCCTTCCAAAATTACCGCAGTCCAAAACTGGTCAGCACCGAAGAACCCGTCCGAGGTTCGTAGTTTCCTCGGCCTTGTAGGTTATTATCGCAGATTTAAGGGGTTTTCAAAGATTGCCCTCCCTTTGTCACAGTTGACGAGGAAGTCTGTGAAGTTTCAGTGGACAGACCGTTGTGAGTCGAGTTTTCGGGAACTGAAAAGGAGGCTTACAACGGCACCAGTGTTGACTACTCCAGATCCTTCTCGGAGTTTCACCATCTATAGTGATGCTTCGAGGCGGGGTTTGGGGTGTGTACTTATGCAGGACAGCCAGGTTGTAGCATATGCTTCACGTCAGTTGAAGCCCCATGAGCAGAACTATCCTACCCACGACCTGGAGTTAGCTGCAGTAGTACATGCACTCAAAATATGGCGGCATTATCTTTATGGTGGTCGATGCAAGATTTACACCGGTCACAAGAGTCTGCAGTATATTTTCACGCAAAAGGAGCTCAACATGCGTCAGCGACGTTGGTTGGAGCTTGTTAAAGATTATGACTGCACGATTCAGTATCATCCGGGGAAAGCAAATGTTGTAGCTGATGCCCTGAGCCAAAAGGTAAAGGGTGAATTATCTTGTTCTATTACCCAGCAGTGTCATCTTCTTCGAGACTTTGCCCGGATGCAAATTCAGGTTGTCGAGTCATTTCCTGCAGTGACTACAGGGAGTGTTAGCTCGATGCAAATTCAGCGCACGTTGAGGGACAGAATCCGGCGAGAACAGGCTCATGATCAGTTTATTCATGCTATTGAGGCCAAAGGTTCCACCGGAGGAGTCGAGGGTTTTTCTCGAGGTACAGATAGCGCCTTGGAGTTCCGAGGCAGGATCGTAGTGCCGAAGGTCGAGGCCTTGCAGAAGGAGATCTTGACAGAGGCACACACCGCGTCTTATCTAGCTCACCCCGACAGCACCAAGATGTATCACGACCTGAAAAGGTCATTCTGGTGGAGGGGAATGAAGAAAGATGTTGCCAGTTTCGTAAAGAAGTGTTTGGTATGTCAGCAAGTTAAGGCCGAGCACAAGAGCCCCTTAGGCCTCCTGCGACCACTCGAGATTCCGAAGTGGAAGTGGGAGGAGATCGCAATGGATTTTGTTACAGGGTTACCGAAGTCATCTGAACATCACGACGCTATCTAGGTCGTGGTCGACAGATTGACTAAGGTTGCTCACTTCTTACCTGTATCCATGACCATGTCGATGGAGAAGTTAGCCGAGATTTATACCTGTGGGATCGTTCGACTCTATGGAGTGCCCGTTCATATTGTGTCAGATCGAGATCCTAGATTCACTAGCAGATTCTGGGAGAGTTTACACGAAGCGATGGGCACGCAATTACAGTTCAGTTCGGCTTATCATCCAGAGACAGACGGTCAGACAGAAAGGACTATTCAGACGCTCGAGGATATGCTCAGAGCGTTAGGTCTAGACAGAGGTGCTAAGTGGGAGTCAAGTCTATCGCTAGTTGAGTTCGCCTATAACAACAGTTATCAGGCGTCGATCCAGATGGCTCCTTTCGAGGAAATTTATGGGCGTAAGTGTCGCTCGCCCCTTTATTGGGACGATGTTGGCGAACATCGAGTACTCAGTCCAAAGATGATCGAGAAGACAGTTGCGCAAGTCGAGCTTATCAGACAGAGACTTAGAACAACACAGAGTCGGCAGAAGTCATTCGCCGACAAGCACAGACGTGATATCCAGTTCGAGGTCGGAGAACGAGCCTTCCTGAGAATCCGTCCATTCCGAGGGATCGTTCGATTTGGGAAGAGAGAAAAGTTACATCCTCAGTTTATCGGCCCATTCGAAGTTCTCGAACGAGTGGGCGAAGTAGCTTATCGTCTAGCTCTGCCTCCCGAGTTGTCTAATGTACATAATGTCTTTCATGTGTACATGTTACATAAATACGTGTGCGATCCAGATCATTTCTCCAGTATACTGATATTCAGCTTCAGCCAGATTTGTCGTACGAGGAGTATCCGGTAGCAGTTTTGGACCGCCAGGTTCGGCGGCTCCGGAGACGAAATATTCCCCTCGTACGCATTAGATGGAATCGCCACGGAGAGTCAGATGCTACTTGGGAGCGCGAAGCAGACATTAGAGCCCGTTTTCCTGACTTTGAGTTTTGATGTATATATATTTTTCTTGTATTCTGTATATATGTTTAGTTTGATATTTCCGGGGACGGAAATATTTTAAGGAAGGTAGATTGTAATAGCCCAGTTTCTTGTTAATAAAAGTGATGTATTTCCTTTTATTAATCTCGTTCATTTTCAGCAGATAAGTTCGACTTTAAGTCAAAAATTCTATTCGGTTAATTATTAACCGAGTTAAATTCAATAATTAATTTCCGAACTGTTATTTTATAAACGGATATTATTAATCGGGATTAATTATTAGAAATTAAGAATGATCGGTATCAAAGTTAAGTCACGAGTGTACACAAGGTGCACTTCCACCCACGTATGCGGTGCATGGTCG